GCTGTATTGCTGTTTGAATCTATTTTATAAATCAATTGGGTGTGACGGTCACCGAGTCTTTCGTTTCGTGTCACTCCAACTTTCTACATGCATGACATAATATTTTTTTTGCTTACAAGATTGTTTCATACTCTAAATTAATGATAAAGTGCTTGTCCATGAACTAAATTACTGGTCATCTTCTTGAATTTCCTCTAATACTTCTCTTTGAAGTTTAAATTAAACAGGTGGGCCATGTTCGGAACTCTACAAGGCATGTGAAAAGAGTATATAAGCTATTACTATATATGGGTTTTGTATGTGTAGTTGCAGCTTTGATGTGGAAATTTTCTTTGCCTAGAAAAGATATTCATGATCTGTTTGGTTGGTGAGAATTTGTTGATGTAATGTAAGGCGTAAAGAGAAGAAATTCTCTCCTAGTGTCCTTGCTTTCTCTTTGATTGTTGTCTGCACGTTAACGGTGTTTGTGTCACAACTGCCTTTTGAGTCTCTGCTTTATATTGCTTCTGTGGAGAAAAGAACAGGAAAAAGGAATGGAAATCCGTCTTTTCAGTAGCTTAGGAGGGAGCATGAAGTTGACAATTGAACTACCGGCAGCATAAGATTTTAATTAGTTTCAAATGGTGTATAGGGTATTTGCCCCGCATGTATCTGAATAAAAAGTGAAAAGAGTATAAAAAGTGGGTATGTAATATTATTTAATAATTTAAATTTTTGGATTAAATCACGAACTAACCAATCCGTTACAGTTGGTATTAAAGCTAGATTTAGTCTTAAAGTGGGTTTGTAATATTACTTAATAATTTAAGTTTTTGAATTAAATTACGAAGCACCCGACTCGTTACAGTTGGTATTAAAGTCAGATTTAGTCCTTGATTTGGTGTCAAGCTAAGCGTCTGGTCCAGAAAGCGTTCAAGTGGTTCGGCCGCGATGAGTGCATTGCCCTCTTTTTACCATTAGCAAGAACTTCCTTCAGTTGCATATCATAAGGAATTCAAACAATTGCTTCAAATGCAATATTCGGAAGTATCGCTTGTGGAAATTCAATATCCACGGGCTTATTAGCTAAATGGCAATTGGCACATACAATACGCCCCGTCGCTTCTCGTGGATTTTCATAACCCTGTTGTTCAAAAATGGGATATGCGCTTGAAATGGATGTTCGAGTTATGATATATATCATGAGCGATACGGAAATGGGAGTTCGGGTGGGAAAGAATGTTACAAGGGTATTTGTTCAACATTGGATTCAGATGGAAAAGTAAAAGGGATATAAATGGGTAGGTATGCGGTATTACTTAATAACTTAAACTTTTGAGTAAATAGATAAGTACTTACTCGTTACACCAATTATATTACCTATTTGTTTAGGAAAAGAAAAGTAAAATGTTGTTCGATAAAATTGGAAAAATTAAAGTCTCAAAAAAAAAAAAAAAAAAAAAAGAAATTAAGCATTTTTACTTATGTTGCCTTTGGAAACACATTATATACATATATTTTGATCTTTACTTCTCTGTAAGTGTGACCCAAAGGTGTGCTCACAGAGTGCATCCCCATGATAGGTCGCCCCCACAGATCCCAACACCCAAAAAAGATATAATAATTTTAATAATAAAGCAGGTAATGATGATGAATCTAATCTACTATTGGACTGAACTAAGTATAACCATTTTCTGGATAATTATACATCGATATTGAAGAAAATATATGAACTTTAAATATTATACTTATCCCAATGTACTTGATTTTGTTAATTTAGATCATGGTTGAAATAATTAGTAAGAAATAGGTTAAGACTTAAGATAAGTGCGAGCTTTGATCGCTGTTTGAAAAATTAGTCACATAACTAAAGGAGAGTATTGATTGAATATAACTACTTAGAAGTTTTTGAAGTATGGAGATTTTTTTTTTTTTTTTTTTTTTTAAAAGGGTGAACTCTTGCGACCGGGAAAGAAGAATATTATTTCTTTACCCCAAAAAAAAAGAAAAAGAAAATAATAATCGAGCTAGTAATATAATCTGAGAAGTAACTTCTTAATTCTTATAGTGGATTTTGTCATAGTTAACTAAAAAAACAACATTATAAACAAAATAAAAAGTCAGAGCAAATCATTTTCGGGTCCTGGAACATTTTGGAAAAATATATACACTCCAATCAATGGTGAGTTACTTCTAATAATACTCTCTCTCTCTCTCTCTCTCTCTCTCACGTTTTAATTAAGGTGTAAAGCAGTTTCGATTTTTTACTTCTTAAAATAGTATAGTATTTAAGTTTTTCTGACAAATGGACGGTGTGAGCAGGTTTAATCAGCCATTCTCTACCTAGTTTGCAAATCTATCAATGTGGCTTGTAGGCTTGCTATTTTTAAAATGTGTCAATACAATTAAGAGATATTATTACTATTTTATTTAAAATAATTTAAACAATCACAACATTATCCCTAATAGTAAAACTTTAACACATCAATAGATTTGATCTCTGTGTCTTTCTCATTTAATCACTACAATATATTTGGCCATGATGAAGAGACGTGCCCTACGATATAGGGTCCATACCCCAAAGCTTTCCCTCTCATGTGTACCAAATTAAAGACAAGTAATAATGACCACCTCCAATTCTTTGTTATATTATATGCTTTTGTGACAGATTCTCAATCCTCTGTCCATTTCGCATATTCAAACAAATTTTCATCTTCTCTTTACATCAAAAGATTATATCAATGTCACTGAAAAGGTGTAATTATAATATGAATCCTGCATGTTCTAAATCATTACGTTCAATTTCATCATCCTTCTTTTTAGCTTTATAGAGGCATAGACCTTATATTTTATTTATCCACTTAATTCCTTCTTTTTCAACCCCAATCACCTACCATATAACTTTAATATTTGATTATCATATCAATATGCCTTTAGCTTTACTTTGATCTTCGTTTTATGGAGCAAATGAAATTAATATTGCTTTACCTTATAATTTCTTTATAAGAGGAGTGTGGAGAGAGATATGAAGGAGATTATTGACCTAAAATGTAAAAAGTTTTATGAATCCTCCTAATTTATTTGTGTTAGAAAAATTGTAAAACCTGACGTTATTGTTATGGGGTTCACTCTTAAGATTATAAAGAAATATAATCTTTATTATTTCTTTTATAATTGTTTTTTTTTTTCCCCTCTCCTCTCTAAATTCATATATTTGTGAATTTTTTTATTTTTATTACAAAGTAAGAAGAGTTAGAAGTTAGATTAGCAAATATAGAGAGTCCCAAAATCACCTAAGGTACTAATTCACGGGACGTATCAAGGTGCGCATATATTCGTGAATGATTCTTTCTTTTCCCTTCCTTTATTTTTTCAATTTTTTCCCTTCCTTTATTTACGAGCGCGTGTATAAACCATATTGTGAAGGGATTCCAACCATCCTCATCTCTCTTTCAAACATTATTTAAAATTCAAATTCTACAACTTTATTTCAACCAAAACTCAATCTCATAATATTATTTCAATTAAAACTTAAAATGATAAAAATCCAATCCATCAAGCGAGCTTATATATATAAGACAACTTAATAAAAAAGAAATATAAGCCAATTGAACCAAAAAGAATTGATGAAAAAAGGGATTTTTTCATACTAGGAAAGGGAAGAATCTTTTCATATAAGGGTTTTTTTTTTAATCATTCAGGAATATGAATTTAAAGAGGAGAGAGAAGAAAAAAAAAATTGATTACAAAGAAAATAATGAAGATTATATTTATGTTTATATATAATAAGCACCAGTGTGAAAGATGAAATGATTTTAAAAGGTAATTAAAAAATTCTATTTTAAAGTTTTATAAAATATATATATATATAAAATAAAAAAAAAAGCACATTAATTATAACTTTCATTATTGGTATTTTAAGATGCGACTATGAATGGCAGTCCCGCAAACTGCCCTATCACTCCTCATAAAAGAAAGCCTCTGTAGATTATTACAATAATCCTTTAAGATTCTGTGTTAGGAGTAGGAGTTGGTGACTCGATAGTGGTTTTAATTTGTGGGGGACAACACTCCCCATCACAATCATCTAATTGCCCATATGATCATATCCCATGTATATATATATATATATATATATATCTATCTATCTATCTATCTTTGGCTTTTTTTTTTTCTTTTTTTTTTTGAAAGGTTATATATATCTATCTTTGCGCGTGAGAGAGGTTGAGAAAATTAACTCCATCCACACTACCCATTTGTCATATTTCAAAGGAAAATACTTTTTGACTGTGACCAAAAACTTTCTTTATTTGACTGTCACCAAAAACTTACCATTACCACAATCCATATTTTCAACGCTCCATACAGTCATAAATTGAAATTCACAAATTTTGTAGATTTTAATAAGATGTTAAAAAAAAAAGGTTAATTTCACTCAGACCCTTTGAGATAAGGTCAAATTTTATCTAGATGAAAATTTAATTTTTAACTTTCACTTACATCCTAATTTGTTTTTTTTGGCCTCAAACACATGCGAATTGACCCTTTTACCTTTAAAATTTTAATACAAAATATCTTTAATTTTAAATGACATAAACATCCCTCTTTCATTTCTTTTGTCTACGGTCTCTCACCCACCCCCTTCAACCACCAACACAATTAGTGTAAAGGTAAGGAAAAAAAAATTCTAAATTGATTCCGTCATCTAAGATGAGGTTGAAGGGTAACATAATCATCTAACACTTCAAAAGTACTGTGACCTCACTAAAAATTAATATTTAAGATGTAAGTGAAATATTAAGCCACTAATTTAAATATGAGTACAAATTAAAAATTAAATTTTCATTTAAGTGAAATATAATCCCACCTTAAGAGGTGTGAATGAAATTAACCAAAAAAAAAAAAAAAATCATGGCGCTCCACAATATTTGCTAGACTCAGACTTGGTCCAACTCCATCATTTAAATCATTTTTTTTTCTTTTTTAATATTTGAAATCTAAGTTGATCTGGCAAAAAGCTTAAAAAAATAAACCTTGGAAGCTTCTGTCTCATTGTTCTTCTATTCTCTCTCTTTCTTGTGTGAGAGAAACATAATTAAGACACACATAAAGTGCCTGTCAGGAACGTGAATTTCATTGCCTTTTTCTCTCATTAATTCAATCTCTTCATTTCATCTCTCTCTCTCTCTCCACAATGAGAGATTTAGCTTCTTGTTTTGGTGAATATGCAATACAAGTCTCTGATGCTTCTTGCTCTACCTACTCAAACCATTCTTGTATTTCTCCAATCCTCAAACCTTCAATTCAAAATACAATCACTTACATATACAAAACCATTCTCTCCTCCCAAATCCATCAGTTGCTCACAGTGACTTGGTGCAAGAACAACATGACTCAAGGCCTAACCATCAATTTCGGCGACGACCCGAATTCGGTTTTCAAACTCAACACCAATTCAAGGCTGTTCAGGAAGAAGAAAGGCAGCAAATCATTTGAATTCAACAGTTCCAAGTTTGAAGTGTTTTGGGATCTCTCCACAGCCAAGTACCAAACAGGACCTGAACCAATTGATGGCTACTATGTCTTGGTCATGGTTGATTCACAGCTCGGACTAGTTCTTGGCAACTTGGCTGAAGAAGCAGTGACCAGAAAGCTCAAAACTGGCACACCGGCTGCCAAATTCCCATTGATTTCGCGGCGGGAACACTTCTCCGGCAATACCCTTTATTCCACCAAGGCTCAGTTCTGCGACTCGGGGACTTCGCACGACATTTTGATCCATTGTAGCTGCGAAAACGAAGGCCTGAGGCATCCTGTTCTGTCAGTGTGTATTGACAAGAAGACGGTGATTCGCGTGAAGAGGCTGCAGTGGAATTTCCGCGGGAATCAGACCATTTTTGTTGATGGGTTGCTGGTCGATCTCATGTGGGATGTTCATGGATGGTTCTTCAATCCGGCTTCCGGTTACGCGGTGTTTATGTTCAGAACAAGAAGTGGGCTGGATAGCAGGTTGTGGTTGGAGGAGAAATTGGTGCAGAAAGAACAAGAGAAAGTTGAATTCTCATTGTTGATCTATGCCAGTAAGAGCCCATAAACATGATTGACTTTCTTTCTTTTTTTTTCACTGCCAATATTTTAGTTCCTTCTTTTAATTTTCTTTCCAATACTGAGAGGAATAGATATTCATGATGTTGATTATGTAGAATGAAAATAATTTGGAGTGCATGACCAAAGTTATATATGCTAATGAGTTTCAGAAATGTGAAATTGAAGATAGATGATTGAAATGCTTTGGCCTATTGTGTGCAGTGTGTGTGAGTTTAAATCCCATAATTTGACCCATCCCATAATTGACTGTTATGAGTTTTGAAGCACCAAAGGGGTGGAAAAAGTAACAGTAGAAGACATCAGGAAGTGGTTTTGGGCATTTTCAAATTTTTAAATGAAGATTTAGGAGAAAGTACTTTTGGGCATTTTGAAAATTTTAAATGAAGATTTGAGAAAAAGTGCTTTTGGGTATTTTTGAAAGATGTTAATGATATTTGCTTTGAGCTGTAAAAGGAGAATAAAGTTGAGAATCTCTTGACAATGATCCTCGTTAGGCCCCACTTGTTACAGAGTGCAACTATGGCTATGGTGTAACACAAAAGCATAATGTATTAGCATTGTTTCAGCTTTTATTGAATTTGGACACTTCGGCCATGGCTAAACTAGTACTACTATTTTAGTTATTCTCTATTTTCTTTTTGTCCTTTTAAGAAATGCTCAACTAATGTTAGATTTTTCTTGTAATTTGATACCTTGATCGTACAACTCAATTGCCTCTGTTTTGTTAGAATTTCCCCTGCTTTTTTTTAAGAATAGTTTCACATGTAGCTCCTTAGGTCATATCGACATCATTTTTAGTTGTATGGTACTTTCTCTGAGGCTCTTCATATTTTTACTTGTCTTACTATACTAGCATTTAGAAAATTATCACAAAGAATAAAAGATACCATAAAAAAGAACAAACAAGAAGAAAAAACCCTTAATTGAGGAGGGGGAATTAAAGGTTTCTTTTTCTTCCGCCGGGCTCAAATAGTAGGGTTTTTTTTTTTGTCCGGAAGTTCAAACAAGTACACTTACCTCATAATATTGCCTTCATTAAGACTCCAACACTCAACTTTTACGCTAATGCCCATTGATTTTATATGTGTAGGGTTAGTAGCAGACACGAATGACGGTTTCAAAGCATGCACTTATATAGAGTTTGCTTGAGCAATAATTTATTTTTTTATTTTTTATTTTTTATTTTTTTTGGTTATGGCAAGAATGTTATAGGTTAGTAATTAAATGGAAAATGGAGAGTGTAAGACTCAAACACATCTTTCACGGGAATAACCCGAATAACATAGTACTTGTCATCTGCAATAAGAGGAATTCTAATTGCAGTCGCGCAAGCAACTGCCTATTCACAGTCGCCAGTTATGATAGGTTAATTTTGAATGCATTAATTAGTTTGAGATTCTATTTTTATGAGACTCTACGTACATTATTTTTTAAACAAAAATACCCTTTTAAATTATCTAATCTTTTCTCTTCTTCTCTCCTCTTTTAATGGAGTATGTGGTTAGTTATGTGATAGATAATTCATTCACAAGAGATGGATGGATTCGGAAAAAAATAAAAGGAAGAAGGAAAAAAAAAAAGAGCGAGCAAAAAATCCAAAAACAATAAAAAGAAAGGTAAAAAAAATCGATTATATATTTCTTCCTTTTTGTTTTTTCCTATATATATATATGTGTGTGTGTTTCTTTTTGTTTTTATTTTTAATTTTTACAACTATCCTTGTATAAAAGGATTTAAAAAAAAAAAAGGAAATAAAAGAAAAGGAAAAAATTCCTTCACCAAAAAAGAAATATATATGTGTATAAAACTAATTTTGTATATATATATTTTAAATCTCAGAATCTATCTTGTTCTTTTTCGGATTTTTTTCTCTCTTTTTTTTTTTTCCTCATGATCTACTTATTGTGAATGGATTATCCTATTTAATTTTTTTTTTTCCTCCTTTTTCAGCATCCATTCATATCACATTAATTATTATTATTATTATATATACACATACGTATACATCCCTATATAAATTGATTAAAAGAGGAGAGAATAAGAAAAGCATAATTTTAAAAGGTATTTTTGTCTAAAAATAATATTAATAGAGTCCATAAAAATAAAAACTCAAAATAATTAATGTATTCAAAACTAACTAATCCAAACTGCAGACTGTGAATGGACAGTCGCTTGTGCGACTGCAATCAACATTCCTCTCAGCAATAATTAGATCTACTATTAATATTGCCTCTGCATGTTAGACATTGGGATCTGTATAACTTGATTCACAATTCCGAGTGAATCGGGATGACCATTCAACATTGTCCTCGACACATTAAAACAGCTCCAAAAGGTGGGACTGTTTGGACCAAGTTCGTATTAATTTTGTGAATAGTACATTTAGTGTGAGCGGTTGCTTTGTTGCGTCTCATTAAATTTAGAAGTCTTTTCTGCTTCTTAGGTTCATAGTTTCTTCAGGAAAACAAAGTACACTGCTCTATAACTCTTATATTAAATAACAGCTATTAAAATCTCTGGTAGGGTCGCATATTTATCTTCATAATACGATCTCATTCTACTTAAATTATTTGTCTTTTACTTTCTATTACACTGAGAAATGGAAGAAAACAGAGTGTAGTGGTTTGCTAATTCACTGTCTCACACACAGGGTTTTCAAAATCAAACTTTTTGTTTACACAAATGCTTAGAAATGGAAGTGGTCAAAATTTCAGAAAGAGTGGAAGTTGATATATCTTAGTTTGGCTGACAAGAAAATGGTGAATTATCTTTATGACAAGTACTAAGTTCCCATTTTCTAGATATACTCCACATTTTAGATATGTTACAGTTTGTGGTGTCAGCCTCTTAGAGCACTCCATAATTGTGTCAGACCTCTTAGAACACTCCATAATCTATCACCAAACACGTATAGTCTTCTTATCCCATATGCACCAGACAGTTACCAAAAAAATTCCCCGAGTGCGGCTCCCATTTATGGTGCTTTTGAGACCACTAAAAAAGGGGAGCTTGGCATTTGGGTAAGAAACATTTTGGGCAACCATCATTATAGTTGCTGCAGGGTCAGATTAATCTGCTCCACTGCCTAACATGGAAGTCAGGAGGAGCCTCAGGACCACCCAACTTTTCCGGGGTCTCAAGCAACAAGGTTTTCTCTTGAATGCAAACCCATCTTCCTTTATTAATTCAACATTCAACACTACCAAACTGGCTTATTGCCTAACATGCCTGTCAAAGTGGTCCATTCACATCTTCACACAAGTTGGGAGAATTAATTAGGTTCAAGATCAAATGATATATATATATATATATATATATATATATATATCTTCTCATGATTATCTGCCATTTTTTGATTAAATTTTCTTGGCCACCAAATTGGAATTTTAACTAACTTCTCAGTCTTTCTAACTTGCTTGTGATTCCAAAACACTCATTTTTTTTTTAGTGATAAGAAGCCCATTAAGTTCATTCAACTGAAGTTCCAACTTCCAATTTGTGAGAACTTGACCTACTTTTTGTTTTTGAATTCAAGCTGACAAAGAGCACATTACTGGTTTTGTAGTTGAACTTTGGCAGCCTACACGCAGCCCACTTTGCTTGGCAAGCCCTTAAAAGTCTTTCCCCCAAAATAAACTATGATTAAAATAACATAATTTCGATTTGAATAATTAATCTCAGACTAACTGTCTAAACGAGGATGCTAATGGAGGAATTTCTATCCCTTGAATGAAAAAACAAGTCGAAAACTTTGACCATATGGATTAAAATTGTGTTACACGATGATGACTAAAATATCCGAGTTTCACTGTTTGGTCAAGTGGCATTATTACATTTAGAATATTTGAATGGCCAATTTGAGTGACTTGCATTTTGCTAGTGATTAATTCAAAATTTTGATTAAGCATGAGAGTGTTACTCTATAAGGATTCGAGAAGATCTGATTATGAAAAAACCAATGTCTACTACCATTGATTATGGACTTGAATTCGAAAATATGAACAATCTATTTCTGATAGCTGCGCGCAGCCATAAAATATATATATATTTATAAAAATATCATTGCAGTAAAGAATAAATTAGTTCACACAATTGAGGTGTTCATCTTCATCCAATGAATTCAGTGAAGCTTCAATGTTGATACAAACTGGTGGTAAAGATAAATTCACTAGCATACAGTTTGAATGAACCATCAACTCAAGAGTCTCAAATTATGCAGAGTTTATGTGTATATCTTTCATAGTCAGAATATTACATTGGTGAGAAAAGCCAGAACGTAAGAACTTGCCTAGAAAGTCATAGCACAGGAAGGACCAGTGTCTCGACTTTCGAGCTCGTTTCGGATTCGAAACAGCAAACAACTCAGATGCAGTTCTACCTTGATCAGCCTAAAAAACACAAAGTGTGGTAGCTTAGGCTCATTTTCATGTCAACAGAACATACATTATCTTTTGATTGATTAGAATGGCAAGCAAAGTTGTCTTTCTTCTTGTCCCTACTGAATATATCTGATCACAGAGCATATATTCGAATAGCCAAGAAGAAAATAAATAAATAAAAATAAATAAATAAATAAGAAGAGTACGATATGATATGATAGTGTGTCACTTTTTGCATGTGGATGAATGTATAGTGTACAATTTGTAGGGTGAGAGACTGCTCAATTGCCCCACAAGTGGTTGAGGGACTTCGAATCTACTACCCATCACATAATATGGCAAGATATGGTAAAATTAAAAGGTTATGTATATTCATTTCAACTACTTTTATGGTAGGCTATGAAAATCCAATGCATTTTCACTTTTTATTGTTATTATTATTATTATTATTTAAAATAGACAGGGAAATCATTCACTATGGAATATAAATTTTGATCGGATATATAGACACTACTCCTTCTCACATCCCTTGAATTAGTGCCTAAAGGCTAGACTGACTTTATATATTGAAGCACTATGGGATAGACCTCAAATATATCCACAAGGCTCTACACTTGTTTTGCCACAATTATCAAGTGAAGGCCTTTCAACATAGCATAAAGGTAAATGATTTTTTCACGAAGTAGTTATAGTGAATTGTTAAATTTAGTATTTTTAATTGATTATTAATACAATAAATGAGAAAGTGAAGTCCTCCGTTTATTTATATTTAGTATAAATAATTAATCAAAAATTACTAAATTAAGTAATTCACTGTAAATTTTCGATGTAAATATTACTATTGTAACATAAAACAGGCATTATAACAACAACAACAACACCACCACCACCACCGCCAACAACACCACCACCACCACCACCACGAAGTAGAAGAGAGGCGACTTATCCCAACTTTCTCGCGGAAAAGCTGAGCCTAAAACAATTTAGTTTTTGGATGCTACATAAGGGCTCATGTGGGTCCCACTCTTATAGCATCATTTTTCAACATAATACTCTTAAGAGACATCTCTAATGTGAAAAGTAATGAATCCACCTCATTTAACTATTAAATGAAACAGTTTTTGAGTTGTGTGAAAAATAAAATTAATTATTTAAAACATCTAAGTTAAAAAGCAATAAAGTTTGTGACTCTCTTCTCGTGAGAGAGGCCTCTTAGCAGCGTTAGTCAAATAATATTAATAATAATAATAAAACAAAACAAACTAAGTTTCTGTTTTATTACCTCAATAACCCTTGAATAGAATCACTGCAACAGTGAAGGGAAGCAAAGAGAAGAGGATATTACCAAAAGGGTTCATTGTCACAGCAATAGATACGACTTTATCTTCTGCAACAACACCATTAAAACCACATATCATAAGCTCCAAAAAAAAAAAAAAAAAAGCTGCAAATTTGCAAGTGATGAGAGAACTTACTACACTCTTTTGGATGGCAAACACACCTCAATCCAACCCCACAATTCCCATTAGGCTTTTGACACTCATCACATATATTTGGTACATGATCAGGAATATCAAAAGAAATCCTTGTCCCCAACTCAAATCCTTCAAAGTCACCATCAACTAAAGTACTCCTTCTATATACTCTGCTGTAATGTGAGCAATTCAAATCTTTTGGATCAAAACCCTCCTTCATTTTCTCAAGATCATCCACAAGTAAACAAGAAGAGAACCCTTCAAGTTCTTGATTACCAAGATCAGAATAAGCTTTACAACCATGCAAGTGAGTGCAATTACTTATAAGTGGCAACAAATGATCTCTATTTTTTGAACAGTTGAAGAGAAGCAGAGAATTGGACTCGGGCCTTGGGAAACCAGCTGAAAGAAGTGAAGGAGAGACAAAGTGGAGTGAAGAAGAACAAAAAGTGTGAGAGATGGTGAGTTGCTTACTTTTGTAATCAATGGAGGAGATAGGGAAGAGACCAAGAGAGGTTCTGAAGTATAGTTTCTGAGATTTACAGAGGACCATTTGATTCAAAAGTGATGGATTTGTTGAGTTTTGAGGAAATAAAGAGTTTTGGATCTGATTTTGCCACAATAGCTTGTTGGGGTCTGTTTGGTTACAGATGTTGGGAAGAAAAGGCAGAGGGCAAGGAGGAGAACATGAAGAAGATGTAAATTCTTCAACCTCTTCATTTTCTTTCTATTCCCTTTCCTGGTTTGGTGTTTCAAATCAAGGGGAAGGAAATTCAGGGTGGTGATTTTGATGATAAGAGGGAATTTGAAGGATAAAAAGTATTAAAACAGAGAATCTACTTTTTGTATATTAGTCATGAAAATATTACTTTCTGTCTAGTGTTTATATCTTATTTAAATGAATATTTTCACTTTTCCCTCAGAAATGATTCCCTTTTTTAAATTTAGCCATGTTCTTGTGGACTGTTAAGATCCTCTGCAACACCCTTTTCTTCACAGGAATTTTTTTTTTCTTTTCCCATCCTTTTCTATTAAAGGTTTCTTCTTCTCTCCATTATCTCTCAGTAATATAATGAAGCTTTTGACTGACAAAAGCCTTCCCCCTCCTCATACACTGTTTGTGCACACTTCTTACTTAAAAAATAAAAAATCTCCCATATCTAAGCGTGTTGTACCACATCAAGCGAATCCCATCACTCACCCACCGTGAGTGATGGGATATATCTACTGTGATATAGCAAAAGATGCGTGTTCAATTGCACAATACAGACGGACAGACGTGTGAGTGATGGAATCCATCCGATGTACTATAGTGGAGGATACGTGCTTAATTCCAAAATACAACAAATGCGCGCAAATATGTAATTACACATGCTTCATTTTTGAGATCTAAGTCAAGTGGCAGACAAAAACCTATAACATGGGACCTTGAATATTGAAGGTAGTTAACCTTTATTTCCTTTCATTCGAATCATGTAAAGAGTTAAGATTAGGTGAAGCAACAAAGTCAAAAAGTAATTTTATCATTTTCCAAATTCACAAATACAATCTACTTTATTTAGTTCACTTTGATTCAGATATAAAATACCACATATATAGCAATCATCAATTGATCAAGAGTGGATACTAAATACAAGGCTGAAATTAAATATTCAGTTGCCTTCATAACATATTTTGCATAGTCCTCCACAATTATGCAAACAAACACACACACAAATTCACACACACAGACGTACAAATACTGTTATTTTGGATAGTAGCTAGCTTCTCGGATATGGTTGAATGACATTGTTGATCATGCTGGTGACTTGACAAGAACAGTTGTGAAATCAAGAACCACAAACTTTTCGATCACTGTCGAGAAAGTAGACGAAAATTCGAGATGAGTAGGGTGGCCAAGAAAAGCAGTGAAGTCATCCTTGCTGTTGAAATTCATCTGGAAAGAATGTGTGAAGCCTTGTCTAAGCATCTCTGGGCTTTCAATGTCATGTCCCCTGTTAAGATTGAGACTCGTGTCACATTGAATCAATTCATTTGTTATAAAACATACATAAAGACATGCAGACAAAAGATTTTCAGCTATGTGGGTCTGTTTGGTTCTGTTTTTCACTTTACTATCGGATAAAAAATAAATATAGAAAAGTTAGTAAAAAAAAATATTGATTAAGGGCGTGTTTGATTCAGTTTTTTAAAAATAAATTTTTATTTTTCGATAATTAAAAATTAGAAAATTGTACAAAAATATATTTAATTAATGATTTTTGAAAATTGTTTTATGAAAATTCGTTAAAAAGAAAAGGTCCGTTTTTAGATTACTAGAGATAAATGCATATTATAGTTCACTAAAAATAGTTTTATGTGTTCTTGAGAATTATTTAAAGAAAGTTAAACCAAACAGACCCTGAGGGCCTGCTTGTTTTGTAGTAAAACAGATAAAGAAATCTTCCTACAGAAAATACTAAAAATAAAAACTGTATTCTTCCAAAATAGGCCCTTTTTTTTTTCCCCCCGATTATGGCACAACTAGAAACTGTTATTAGAAAACTAAACCAAGCATAACTTTATGATAGTGCTTAAAATTTCAGTCTAATTTTTGAAGAAACCAATTTTCCTAACATTTCTATCTCATATCAAGAACACATACAAGAAAATATAAAATCAATGAGTTAAAAAAACTTAATTCAACCACAAAAGAAGCAAATATAACATATGTTCATAAAACCATGAAACAAACAAACCATTCAAAGGACTTGACAGCATCAATCTCATTAACAAGCTTCTCCATTCCTTTCAAGATATCTTCCACCACCACCTCCTCCTTGAACTTGACCACCACCAAGTGCTTGAACCCACCCATGGCCAACAACTATCACTAATGAACCAAAATGAGTCACCAAATGCATCAATATATACACATCATCAATGCAAGCATAGTTATATATAACTTAATTGTATCATATATACATATATATATATATATAGATAGATAGATAGATAGATGTCAAACATTTCAAACACAGTCTCATGTGTCACACTCTGTAATATCATGTATTGCCATGAAAGTAAGTCAGTCTCTCCTTTATTAGACAACAATATCTGCTGCTCAATATTTGGAAAGGTACAGCTGCATGGGAAGGATACCCTACTAGTCAGCATCTTCTTCGCTTCACCCCACAGTTTTCACTGTCCTAACCCATTGTCGTAACCTTATTTTTGCTTTATATATATATTGTGTGTGTGTGCGCGTGTGTGTGTGTGTATGTATCACTCACTCGAATGGGGTCCTTATTTTTGGTGCCATTTTTTTGATTTCTAGGGTTTTGAGTTCTGTTCTGGGGTTACCTCATTTCCGAGGCAATATCATCTCATGACAGACCTTTTTATTTCTTTGTGTGTGGATTTATTAATGAATTGGAGGAACTTTTTTACCCACTTTTTCTCTGTGAGTTGCTGGACTTTTCTCCATGTCCTTCCCATGTGCTTCCAGAGTATATTATTGAGGTTTGATATAACATCACTTGTCTTTAAGGAATCTTAGTTCACACTTCTTTTTCATAAAATTAATAATGTGCGAAAGTTGACAAAATATTTTTGATTAATTCTTTTTTATTTGCTTTGAATAATTAGGATAAAGAGATTTTGATGTTTATAACAACCACAAAGCACAATATCAAAAAAAATATATATCATAAATTTCAAATTACAAGAAAGCACAGAGTTTTAACATAGTTTTTTTTTTTTTTTTTTTTTTTTTGCTAACTCAGGATATTCGAGACTTCGCCCCGACTAATCCCGAGTACTCAGGAAGGGCGCCTCCCCATCCAAGCCGGGTCAAGTTGTCGTAAGCTATAGTGAGAATTGAACTCCTATTTTTTTTTTTTTTGAATAACCTGAGGTATCTAAGGCTTCGTCCCAACTAATCCCCGAAAACCTAACAAGGACGCCTCACCACTGCGACCCGGGTAAGTCTATGAGTATGACTTCGGAGCCTTGGCTCCAAATTGTCGTAAGTTCTAAGTGATAATCAAACTCCAGACCTCGGTGTTAGTAAGCACCCAAGCCAGGTAATTTTACCACTAAGTCAATCCCTTAGGGTTAGTTTTACCATAGTTCGATTTAGAGTTGAGATTTTGATATTTATAAGAGTCACAAAGCATAAAATAGTCAAAGTAATAATAAAAAAATGTTAATTACAAACTATAAAAAAATACATAAATCCAACGTGGTTTGATTCAAGAAAAACTCTCAAAAGAAATAAGATTTGGATGTTTTTCAAACCCTAACGGTGCATAGTACACCCTTTATTTCTCTCTATTTCTAGATTTTTAATTTGCATCATTAATACCAAAAAAAAAAAAAAAACATTCTTATACTAAATTACAATAAAAATTAAAATCTAAGTCCAGCTCTCTATTTCTAAAATTTTAATTTATATAAATAAAATAAAATAAAAATTAGCACCTTTATATATATCATATTACAATAAGAACTAAAATCCGAGTCCAAAACTCGCAAGACAAAAAATTGATTAAAAAACTTCATTCAGATGGCTACAATTGAAAATAAATTTAAAAAAAGAAAAAGAAAATCTTAACACGACCCGAAATGAAAGAAAATAAGAGACACAAATCAACAATATTCAACAATAGATGTGAATCTGGGAACTCCAGAATAATGCATAGGTTGTATCGGCTGAATATTTTTATATTTCAAGTTTTCATGGGATTGCACAATTACAGCTCTACATATATATAAATATATACGTATAAGTGTGTATATGTACACGCACGTGGGTTTGCCGACAGATTGCTTATGCCATCATGGTCGTGCACATGCACGTGCACAGAAACGGTGCAGCACCACTGTACCAGTCCAAGTGAGTCCACCCGCTAAACAGCCACTGCATATCTGCAGTAGGCAGTACGTACTCCTATAATAATAACAAATCAACGTGTGTCTTTGACCGGGTCACTGCTCAATCTGGGCCTCAAAGCAAGGCCCATTTAATTAGTGGCCCAACAATCGAGACAATATGCAAGACGACGAGGCCACAAGCACACACTCCAAAGTCTTGGATCTTAGCTCCTCTTAGTCCACTTGAATAGGTGAGTTTGTATTCGAACACATTATTTTTTTAATTTATCATGATATAAAAAAAAAATTAATATTCCATTTCTAGTTCTACTAATTAATAATCTAGCTACCACTTTCTTGTAAAGAAAGTTTATGCACTAATTTACATCAATGAAAATTATACTAAACTTAATAAAAAATCAAATTGACAATAAAAGTAGGTTTTGTAAATATTAAATGAATATATATAAGCACGCGTATAATATGTAATGTAGGCACGCACGGAGTCCTCACTGAATTTTTTATATTTTCATTTTAGATTTTAATTTTTTTAGAATTTATGAAGATGTCTCACTAAAATTACAATTCGTCCTCACTTGAATTCTTTTTATATATATTTTATACTTTAAATTTTTAAAAATTTATGAAGATACACCCACTAAAATTACAATTTGCCGTACTGAATTAAATTTTTTTTTTTTTTTTTTTTGCATTTTATACTTTAATTTTTTAAAAATTTATGAAGAAACCATTAAAATTACAAAAATTAACCCACTATATAAGTTTGCCTCACAAATTAAAAGACTGCTCCCCTCACAAAATTTTCTGAATCCATCGCTAAATGTAGGTCGAGGAGAAAATAAAATAAAACAATACTAGTATTACCATAAAAGTATAATGAAAAAAAAAAAATTGGTGTGATGTAGAGAGGTACGTGATAAACAAATTGACTTAAAGTTGTGGGAGCAAACAGGGAGACCAAAATTATTGGTTCCCCTGTAGGCTAAACCATATAAGCAAGAAGCCCATCAATTATTTTCTTAATAGAGACTCAAAACAGTAAAAAAATAAAAAATAAATAGTTATAAAGCACAATCAATTTTGTAAATTAAAAATCATACCCGCATTAAAAGACCAATTAATTACAATTTTAAAACTTTGGTTAAAGAAGTTTTAAAATTTTCTCTAACACACATTATATAATTACTTATTGATTTAAGGAAAGTATTAGCATTACTTTTTTGCCAAATTCTATGTTTAAGGCTCTGTATTAAAGCCCATTGGATCCTGGATTTACTGTGAGGTGATGCACTTGCATAGTTCAATCAAGTGTGAAGTTTGAACCAATACAACAAATAGTAACAAGTTAAGGACAAATATTGTTTTTCTATTTATTTATTTATTTAAATTTCCCTCTTTTGGGACTGTAGTAAGTAGGTGCACGTTAGGTAGAATTTGCACGCAATCCCTATACATAGGGTACTATAGTCTATAGCAATGTTCTCAAAATTTCACATGGGTAAAATCATAAAAACTCTACTATGAAATTTATACACGTAACCCCTTTGTACTAAGCACTTCTCGCGAAAGTCTCTTGATTTTCAAAACTTTGTTAGTTTGACTGATTTAAGAAATATGGACACTTTTTTACAGAAGAGTTGTACTCATATTGAATACCCATATTTTTTGAATATTCCTCGGATATTATTTGACACTTCATATATATGTCTATAAATAAAAATTAATTTTATTATTTTGGACACTTCGTCGACACTTCCGAACATTTCTAATAAAAGTCTACCCTGTGGTTCATCGCATGGTCCTATGCGCGACCCATATCGACCAGTTTACATTCACTTTACCCGAATCCGTTACATCGCGATTGCTATCGCGACCGTTATCGATACTGCAAACCATGGTCTACCCAGTAATCTTGAAAATAATATGAATACTGTCATGACAAAGTAATGAAATAATGTTATATATGATATAAAAATTATTACAATAATGACATAATTTTATTTTCTAATTCATTTCAGAGCAACTCTTAGTATAATATTATTACGGAATAGATGTATAAAAATAAAAATTTATATTTATATGTAGTCATGTTTACGTGATACTCGTGTCTTACTTTTTTAAAATTTGACGTGTCCACATATTCTTGTCGTATTGTATTCGTATCTCGTAATTGTGTCCGTATTAAATAGGCCACGCGACCAATTTTATTCTCTATAATGCTTAGATGGGTTCACGATCCTTATGTGACCAAGGTATTTCTTCCGTAAACAATTTAAAACCTCAGCCAATTGATATTACTGAATGATGACGAGGTCATATTATTATTACCTCTGCTTACTCTCCATATGGCCCTTGTATAACAATTTTTTGCTTTTAAATTAAAATCATAATATATGTAGTTCCGTAGACTTTGAATTTTTAGAGGAAAGGGGAAATGGATAGTGATTTAAAGACCACATAAATTTGACATTACCGAATTTAAATTATGTGAAAGAGGTGATGAATCCCATCACATGATATTATAGTAACATCATATAATGAAAATCTCACACTTACATAAATTGAATTCAACAACTACCGAATTTATTTCTTAAATCATTATTATTCTTAATATCTGCATTATTAATTAGGTTGACCTGAGTCTAACCTAATGTATTAGAAATATGGGCCGATCCACAATCTCATCCATATTATTAGGCTTGACTAACTAATTTGCATATATTATTAGGGTTAAGCTTTAGGTTAAAGTGTCACAAATATGTAGCTAACTCAAACCGAAATTTTAACTATGCTTTCATATATTTATAATTTTAATATGTATTTCAATGCCGATTAACCATTTATTTTAATAAGTCTTTGTGATGTGACAATCTAGATGTGTCTAAATATGTTAATGAATAAATCCTAAACATGCTCATAATGATTGATCAAAATTATCCAGCAATCTTTAACCCAAAAAAAATTTATCCAGCAATATATCTACTCTGTTAAACATAAATATTGCCAAAATTCTTATATTATGGTAAGAAATTGTGGATTTGAAAAGGAAATAAAAATTAATTCTTCATAATAAAAAAATCTTTAAAAATGCAAAAAAAAATAATGAAAATTTATTTGGTTTTGAAAAGATTTTGAAACTTATAATTTTTCGGTCAAGAAGAGGCCCTCTCGGAATTTTGGCATTATCCATGCTTAATATATGTTTCTATATAAACATGATGGAACTATTTCTTTCTTTTTCGATTATATTTCAGAATATAAAAAAACTAAAATTATTGACTACGATGCTTAAAGACCTGGATTACCTAAGAGATAAAAAAAATACCTAAAATGGAGCAAAATAGTGACACTTAGACCTGCAAAAAAGCCAACCTTTTGACAAGTAGTTCGGGCTCAACTTGCTTAAGGGCTTGGTTTATGTTCGTTTGTTTAATAAACGAACCAAATCCAAACAAGATTTATGTGTCCGATTAATAAATGAACCAATCTCAAACCCCTTCTACTCGGTTCTTTAATTCGTGAATAAGCACGTTAATAGGCTCGATTTGAGCTCATGAATTTATATATATATATATATATATATATATATATATATATATTATACTCTATTTCTAAGCCCATTTCATATTAACTTAAAGTCTTAAAAGTTTTGGCCCATCCCAACCATATGATATTAGCCTTCTCAAGTAACTAAACAGCCCAAAGCCAATATAATATGAGCGTTTTTAAAAGGCTAAACAACCAAAGCCCGTATACACTATATAGTTATATAACCTTAGGCCCAATTTAATTTAAAGTAAAAAGTCACATTTCACTTTCTCAACCCCAAACTAACCCCAGCGAAGAAAGGCCAAAAAAAAAAAAAAACAAACAGGAGAGAAGAATCTAACCGACAAACGGGTAAGATATAATAAATATGGGGTTAAGGGCATTAATTTCCCTGCACAATTTTCTCTCTCCCAATAAACTCTCTATAGTTATGACACTTAACTCCCTAAATTATTTTATTTGCTACAAAAAATCACATTCTGTTAATTTTCTGATGGTTCAATGACGGTAAAGAAACTGAGGAAGTCATGCGACCCACTAATTTTTAAAAAAGACATTATTACCCTTGCCAAGCATAAGCTTACGAGTTATGCCCAACCACAACCTAATGTCCATCTGTCACTGTTTATCTTCTTCAGCACACAATTACACTTCTTTTTTTTTTATGCCCATCTGTCACTGTGCATTAATTATTATTATTATTATTATTATTATTATTATTATTATTATTTACTGTCCATTTGGAAAGGAGAGCTTATGAACATCGAGGTGAATTACCCCATTGATAAATGAGGGAGAACTTGCATCATATTTACCTTTAAAAAATGATCGAGAAGATAAAGGAAATGAAAACGAAGGAGAGGTCTCTTAACCCCTCAAATAATATTAATTTCGATGTCCTTTCCATCACTAAGGTCCTAATTTAATGGTATCTTATCTATCTCTCAAAATGAAAAGTTAAAGGTCTAACTATTCCATCACTCTTGAACAAAGCTATATGTTTAATTGCCAAGATTAAAAAAAAAAAATAGAAAAAATTTATTATATATCAAAAGTGAAAGGACAAACGCACAAATTCATAATCCATACGAGAACTTGAACATTAATTCAGCCTTCCACTTCTAAAACAAATGAGATACTGGTAGAGTTATATGGTATGTACATGGTCTTGGTGGTAAGGATAAGAGAGAGAGTTTCTTTTTTTTTTTCTTTTTTTCGAACGGTAATCATTTCGCCTCTAATTTTATTTTATTTTATTATTTTTATTTTTGTAATCAATCATTACATATTCGAAGATATAGGCCAAATGTACACCTGATCTAATTACCTATATAATATAACGTACCTGTGAAACAATATGAGTTAACCCAGTTTTGCCAAGATTTCGATATGCATCACTCTCTCTCTCTCTCCATGTCAACTGATGAACAAATGAAGCACATGTTAGTCCCTCCACAAAGTAAACTCCATGTCACAATCCACCTCCTCCCAATTGAACCCATTTTTCATCGCCGGTGGCGTCAGGATCAATCCCTCCGCCATGCTATCAAGCAAACCCGGAAAATTAAACAACGCTTCCTCGTCCAAGAACAACGCCGCCGTCGTGGTTGAAGCATCCAAAACCTCCTCCGCTGATCCCTTAACAAATTCCAACTCCATCTTACCCACCAATTCCAAAACATTTTCTTGACTTTGGTTATTATCATGTGGTATAGCAATAGGACGTGGTCTCGTTGCCTTCCTTAAGCTCTTCCCTTGCCTCAAAAACCCTAATGAACCAGGTGAGGACGACGAAGAGGGTGTTGCTGGCTTGAAAGCAAAAGCCCTAGCAGCTTCAAGAGCAGCAACTTGTATGTCCTTAGCTGAAGATGAATTGGCTCGCGGAAGAACCCTAGCTGAGTCAGGGAAGTTGAGTGCGGCGGATTCACCTCGAAGAGCTAGTGCAGCCACGTCGTGTGCCCTAGCTGCCATTTCCGGGGTAGGGAAGGTGCCCAGCCATATCCTCGACTTCTTGTTCGGCTCGCGAACTTCACACACCCATTTGTCCCCGTTTCTACGCCTGACACCTCTATACACGGGGTGTCGGGTCTCTCTGAACTTCTTCCTTCCGGCCTTTCGCTTGTGCGAGACCAGTGGTGACAGAGAATTAGGGTTGCAACTGATAATGTCGCATGAGGAAGAAGAGGATGATGATGTTGAAGAAGACTCTTCTTCAGAGTTCATCTAGAGAGATAAAGTAGTTTGAATTGAATATGTATAAAAAGTATATATATATATATATATATATATATATATATATAGTGTAATGTAAAAAAAAAAAGATGGACGGACTATTTTTTTTTTTTTTTGTGTGTGTGTTTATATGAGTGCACACAGTAAAGATATATTTATATATATGCATGTAATGAGCAACGACAAGTCATGCGAATTGAACAGGGTGTGGGACACGCAAAAACCACGTGAGTGACGCCGATATTTGGCTCACGTGAAAGTCGTGGGTGAATGTTATGTGATATAAAAAAGTCACGTGAATAAAAAAAAAGCAGCTGAAGTGGACGGTTTGTGAGCGCCTCCAAGACGATCACTTTCCAACTCGACCGTACGTCATCAATTACAATTAGGTTGGATGTAAGTGATTGCGTGGCCCTTTTTAGTGGGCCTATCCTATGCACACGCATTACCATACGATTTAAGTCACTCACAACTTGACTAACTTGGTGATGTCCCTGGTACCATATATCTTTATTTATTTATTTATTTTTTTTGTTAAATATATTGAATAGTCTTCATTTTTTAAAACATTTAAATTTATAATTTTTCATTATTTTTATAATTTGAAAAGTTTTTCAAATCAATAATAATAATAATAACAATAACCTATGAAGGTCATATATAAATACAATCAAATTACAGAAAACTAGAAAAGATATCATGACTCAATCACTATTCACTAATAATATTTGCATGTAAAAAAAAAACTCTGCATTTTGTTTCAATAATAACACTTCACCCTTACTTAAGAAAATAGGAGTGTGCAATGGACATTTACAAACACTTCATCAAAGTAAAATGAACATATAATAAAATTAAAGGTAAAGTACAGCCACACTTCTTGAAGTTTGATAAAAGGACACTGAGATGAAACTTACTTATTTTTTGAACAAAAACACCTCCTGAAGGTTCAAAATTTGACAAAGATACCTTTTTACATGAGAAATTGACTAAATTATCCTTTGACCGTTTAGGAGACTTTTTTAACTTTACAATTTAATAAATTGAACCAATCTACCCTCATAAACAATTTATATATAAAAAAAAAAAAAAAAAAGTAACAAAAAAAAGCTTTATATTGTTCACTTTTTTTTTCTTTTTTTTTTTGTTATTTACTTTAAAAATGTCACAACTTCTTAAAAATGTAGACGTCTAAAATGATTTTTTAATCCAATACATATATTTCAAATAAATTATATTTTGTTATTACTTCTTTTCTTTTTCTTTTTTATTTTTAAATTAAGATGCTTAATTATTTCATCTAAAAAAATTAAACCAATCTCTTTTCCTTAAAAATAAAAAATATGGTACCAGTATAACTTTATGCATCTTAAATTATATATCAAATATTATGTATTTCACAACATAAAAGGGAAAAAAATAAAAAATAAAAATAAAAACAAAGGCATGCATAAAATTATACTGGTACCTATTTTCTTTTATGTTGGGAAATGGATAATATTTTATATATAATTTAAGATGCATAAATTTATATTGGTATCATATTTTTTGTTTTTAAGGAAAAAAAAATTAGTTTAATTTTTTTAAATGAAAGAATTAAGCATCTTAATTTAAAAATAAAAAGAAAAAGAAAAGAAACAATAACAAAATATAATTTATTTGAAATATATGTATTGAATCAAAAAATCATTTTATACGTCTACATTTTTAAGAAGTTGAGACATTTATAAAATAAAAATAAATAAATAAATAAATAAGTGAACAAAATAAAGTTTTTTTTTTTTACTTTTTTTTATGCATAATTTATTCATGAGGGTAGATTGGTCCAATTTATTAAATTGTAAAGTTAAAAAAATCTCCTAAACAGTCAAAGGGTAATTTGGTCAAATTTTCATGTAAAGGGTGTCTTTGTCCATTTTTAAACCTTTATGCTACGTTTGGTGTGCAGAAATAGAATTGAATGGAATGCTGTGATACCCCTCGGATCCGAGACATGGGTTGATCAGGCTCAGGCCCAAACCCGAGGGAATATCAAACAATCAATATGAAACCTAATACAGAATACAAAGTGAAATAAAAAATAAAAAAAATAAACTAAAGGAATGCTAATTTAAAATCCTGAAAATATAATTATTAAAATTCAATACTCCAAAACTCCAAAAGTTTAACAACTCAGGAATCCATCCAGTGGACCCCTTATTAAAAATCCCAATAGAAACTAAAACATCATAAATAGAATCTAAAGCTAAACATAAAAAGGATTCCTACGTAGTCGGAGGAATAAATGTCTGTATCTGCACTGCACGTTCAAGCTCTAACCCTGAAACTGACGAACACCTGAAAAATAAAAGAGTGAGTCAGGCCCACATGCAAGTCTTATTCTACTACAATCCAGACAGTAATTCGATACGCAGATACATCCTAGATAGCCCAACAATATCTAGAGTAGTCTATATATGTATATATAGTACACACTATAGGACGTTCGCTAGCCCAATAAGTCTGTCTCAGCCTGAACAGAAGGCAACATGCGAAAACGCACCCAAAGGTGAGCATGAGTACCTAGACCTACTAGGGAACAACACCTATATCCAGTTATCCATCCTAGGCGATATAGGCGCCCTAACCATAGTCCTGAGACTCAAGCTCATACCATGGCACCATATAATAAATATATAAAGTCCGTACTCCTCCTAATACAAAATACCATCCATCTGTGTAGTGGTCTGATATATGTATAATCATCCGTCCTGAAACCACATTAAGTCATTCAACTATATTGTTGATATGACATAAGTAGATGATGGACTTAACCTAGATGGTTAATCCGTACCTTAATCCAAATTAGGTAGGACTTAATATTTAAATTAGTCCATACCTAGTATGTCACCGTTCCATACTGGTACATACAGTCCTCTAGTTAACAAAGTTGACAAAACAGTAATAGATACTTATCAACCATACTCCAGAATTAGCATAAATATAGTCTAACATGTGTATGACAAATTATGCATCCAATATAAGAGTTAGAAATCCTATTCCAGTCTTTTATATAAATGAAGTAAGACTACACATTTAATTCCTCCAAACAGTACCATAATTGATGCAAACAAACAGTAGAAACAAACATCAATTAATTCCATCTAAGCATACTTATTTTTTCAGATAAATAACTATATGCTTATAACACAACTGAGACATGATTAACAATATTAAATCATGCGAAGAAACCAAATTGCTTTAGAAAAACAGGAAGCAGTTTCAATTGATTATCCAACTTCCCACATACAGGTTTATTGTTTAACCTTCTAATTTTTCATGCTTCAACATATTAGCATTAACATGCTTTTAAAGAGTTTTTACAAGTCTATAACGGGTCTATTCTTCATTCACAGCATCTGGAAACACTTAGAACCAACCCCTACTGTCCAAACCAAACCTAGAACACGGAAAAACCAAGAAAATAGGGTAGAGCCACCTCCTAAAACAAAGGAGCCGGCTCTCCCCTTGGTGGAGCAGCCTCCACTTCATGTGGAGCCGACTCTCCAAGCCCTAGAGCCGGCTCCCTCTTTTGGGTGAGCCGTATACCCTAACCTGTTCGTTTTCTTCGCCTTCAGCGAAGTTCAGAGTCACTGTACAGTTTTTATAACTTATTTCAGGGTTCAATTGATGTCCTAGAATTAATTATAAGTATGCATCCAATCCCAAATACACTAATGTTAAGCAAGATTAAAACTAATGCAAACAGATTCTTAAGTGAGAACAACTTTCAACACAAAAACAGATTTATTCGACGATTTAAAAGTTGTTTCAAACATGCTTACAAGATTAATATTAATTTTAATTTAATCTGTTTTAATGCTTAATTAATCCCTAGAGTCTAACTAGGCATGCACAGAACACGAATTAAATGGAAGGAATAGAACAAAGACTTGCCTTGAGTTTCAGTTTTGAAACTCTAAACCACCGTCTCTGAAGCTTCCGTCCACGTCCGAGACTCCTGTTCTACACCTCCGGTGCTCTTGGTTCAACCCGGAAGCATTTCGTCCAGTTATCATTGAACTTCTCTGGAAATCTCTCAAAGTTCTCTCTGTCTCACTGTAGTGAATAGGGTTTTGCTTGTAACCTTAAACCAACGTATAATACTGTATTTATAGGCTTCAGCACAACCCTAATTCTAATACAAAACCAACCTTAAGTCGGCTAAATCCCTCATATGATTAATTAAAAACTAAAATAAAATCATACATCTAATATACATAGCAACCAAAACACGAACAACAGTTAATTTTTTTAAAAAAACAATTTATTTAAATAGGCACATAAGCACATAATTAAACCAGTCACAAATTAAATAAAATGTCAGTTAAATAAAATAATAAAAACAAATAAATAAAACACACAATTTAATGAAAAATAAACAAATAATTTAGGAAAAACGCACTTAAATAATTAAATTAAATGCTAGGAATGTCATTTTAAAATTAAGGGTATTACAAATGCCCATTCCAACCATTCATTTGTTTGGTGTGCAGGAATGAAATGGAATGACCATTCCAATGGAATGAAAATTCATTCTAGAGAATGAAAATCTATTCCATCACTAAACCTATGGAATGACCATTCCATTCCATAGTAAGATTAAAGTTTTTTATAATATTCCTAATAAGCCCTTCATCACATTCCAATAAGGCAAAATCTTTCACATTTTATTTTTCACATTTGTCAAGATTCTTTATTAGACGTGGTAAAGGTGTAATCTTTCATCTTCCCTCTCTTCTGAATATACCCAGAACTGTTATTGATAAAAAGTTGCAGGACTTCCAACCAAAATTGCAGGTATTAATCTTTTTTTTTTTTTTTTTTTTTTTTTTTTTTTTTTTTTTTTTTTTGATAAGTATGTATTAATCTCTTTATCTTCCTAATATATCACTTTTTTATTTTTCTTTTATATTTTTATTTTTATTTATTTTTTTGTATCTTGTGTTGAAACGTTTGTGTGATTTCTCCATTTTTCTCTCTTCTAATATTTACGTATGAAGCAATGATTATATAAAATAAAAATTAATAATCACATAAAATAAAATTTAATAATCATCTT